GGGGCAACCTGGTCCAGTGGAAGGTGTCCCTGCCCATGGCAGGCGTTTGGAACTGCATGAGCTTTAAGGTCCCTTCCAGACCATTCTGTGATTTCTGGGACTTGCAGTGAGGTTGAACTGTAGAAATGGCACTGTAGAAGAGATGTTTCTCCTTAAAGGGTGCCATAGAGCTTTGGCTCCGGATGAGTACATTGTACTTGTCAAGGCTAACACTAAAGGGAATCTTGCCCTTTTCCTGCTGCCTTGTAAGCTCTCCGGTGAGCTGTGTAATGGCAGGAGTGGCCCTGCTTGGAAAACGTTTTTGACATCTCTGTGTTTTGCTCTCTCTCATAAACACAGCCAAACATCGCTGCAGCTGATGGCACTGTGGTGCTGAGCAGTCCTTTGGTGGCGACTCTCACGGACGGAGGAAGATTTGATGTGGTGCAAAGGCTGTTTACTTCATCAAACATTCATCTGGAAATGACAGAGTCTTCTGTGAAAGCTGTAACTATGAAAGAACCTAGATTCTTCCCACTGGTTCTTTATGTTGCATTGTATGGATTTTCTGCTTTAGGTGGGAATATGTAGGAGTTTCGCTGCATTATTGCTCCAGCCTGTTCTTCTGTAGCTCTGCAGTGTAGTGTTGGTGTGTTTGAGCTAGGAGTAGAGCCACTGGGTTAAGTGCATAGGACAATCTGGGCAGGGGTTACGGTGGCCAGGCTGGGCTCTGCAGGCCCGGGGTGAGCACTCTGCACTGCCTCAGGCACGCTGCTGCTGCTCCGCAGCTTCACTGAGACCTGTGGCTGCAGTGGGAAATGCAGAAATAAGGGGTGGAGGGGGGGAGGATCAGAAAAGACAAGCCTGGAACAGGAACTGAATGTAGCTGTTCTGGTCGAGTCACATCTGTGGGGCTTTAGAACCTGATTGTTTGCGTTTATATGCATGGGAGAAGACTGCGGTACAAACTGCTTTGTGTAAGCACGCAAACCAGCAGGCTGTGGACAGCTGGGGTCTGCAATGCAGCAGCTGCTTTGCTCACTTAGGACTTGATGTAGGGAATGCCTTTACTCCGGAGCAAGCAGAGTGGAGGGCTCTCAAAGAGGTACTTGATTAGGGTTTCGGTAATTCGGTGTAGTTTGGCTTTACGGATGTGAATTGCACTGCAGGAAATAAACCTTTTTCCAAAAGGAAGAGCACTTTGGGCTTTGTGCCTCTGTTCAGCATTTTGGTTTTCCAGGAAGTTTTTACTCACCTCAGCAAGTTTCTGCTGTTTAAGTTGTGTCCTGAACGTTCTCTTCGAGGCACAGCGGTGCCTTTCAGTGTGCGCAAATGCCACAGAAATGATCATTTTACCCGTGTGACGTTTTAAGTGCAGATGTTTTGATTGTTTGACTAAAAGCAAAGTGTTGGTACAGCCGCCCAGGGCTGTTGGGCTTGGAGCTGTTTTGCCCTTTTTTCATTGTAATTTTTTTGTAATGGTGTGGATGGGACAAATGCAGTCGAGACCACTGTAAATATGGGCTTGGGAAGGTGATGTTCCAGGTAAGTGGAATGTCAGTGCTGACAGACAAGCGGGCAGCTGTGTGTGCGTGGAGGTGACCAGTAACCAACCCCTGCAGCTGAGCTGGAGGCTTAAGTCCTGCCGTCAGCTTTCTGCTCTATTCCCGCGTGCTCTGGAGCAGATTGTCTAAGCCTGACCCGTCAGTTCAGCTTTCCCTGGGGAAGTGACTTTGCAAAAAAGCCCTACAGTCCCTTTCCATACCCTGAGAGTGCCTGATCCCTGGCATGCTGGGCTGCTGCACGTCCTGTGTCTCATCTGGTCAGTGGAGCTGATGGTGTTGCCCAAACCTTGCACTGGTGTCTCTATCTGGAAGCAGCTTTCAGGAGCATGGAAGCACATTACTCTGCTTCCAGGAGGATGTGTTTGTGTGAATGTCTTTTGCTAATCACTGTTCAAAAGTTGCCTCTGTAACTAATTTATCAACATATTATGTCAAAACAATAGAATAACTTACAACCTCATGCATGTAACTTTGTTGTTCTTTTGGGGATTTCAGTCATGCCTTTGGCCTTGAATGGAGGTGGCAGATGGATCTGTGGGCATCCATGCAGTGCTTTGATCTTCCTTAAAGAGCTTGATGTCCACTGTACAACATAACTGCTTTCAGGGTGTGCATGCTGTGGTGTGTGGGTAACAGAGGGGACTTGTGTGAAGATAAAAAAAAACCCAAACCCAAACACTAGGTATTCTATAGAAACATCACTGAAAGAGGTTGTGTTTGTTTCCTGCTGCTTTGCTTTCAGATGCAGATTAGTCTCTTGCTTCAGCTAAATCCACGGAACAGGTTGAGGCTGAGGGGTACAAAGGTTGCTGGCAAAGCAGAGGTGAGAGGGGCTGGTGTTGGTTCTGGGGCTGGGGAGTCCTCACAGCTGCAGCCAAGGAGGCTCCTGTGGTCTGTCACAGGGTAGCAGAGCTGCTGCAGCCCTCAGATAGACGGGAGCTTGGGGAGATGTTGTATGAGCCAGTTTTCATCAGTAAAGGAGGAGATGCAGATAAAAGGCAGATGTGTGCAGGCTGCCTCTTGATGGCTTATTTGGCTGTAATTCAGGTTATGACAAAAACCAGTCATCAGAAAAAAGCCAATTATGGGATTTTTTTTCAATATTAAATCTTTATTATATACAAAAATATTTGTTGGGAGTTAACAGACTCTCATCATTTGTACAGTAACATTTTTATGTTTGGCTGTGTTACTTGTGAAAATATTAGCTGTGAAAAAGACGGGGGGGTTAGAAAATAAATCCCAATTTAAAAATGCCCTATGCAGTAGCTGTCTCTGGCACATGAGATCAGAATGCAAACGCGTGCCCATGGCCTGCTCCACACTGTGGACTCAAAACACACCTGGGTGCTACATCAGTGTCAGGTTTACATTAGAAAGTTTAGCTAATAGCTAAGGGTTTATTTTCTGTAGGATGTTTTCTATCCAGCAAAGCAGTTTTTAAAGTTTAACAAGCGTCTAATCCAGTTTAATGTGCTGCAGAAAGAGAACACAACACAAGAGCTTCCACCAGGCAAAGCCAGGTGGGAGAAGAGGCGTGGTAAGGAAAAGCTTGGTGACAGACTGCTAATAGCCATGGAAATCCAAGCACTTCACTGGGATTTTACAGCTCTTGGCCCAGTATGGAGCAGGAGAGATGTCCTTGTACCACAGGGCACAAATGTGACGCACAGGCAAGCTGTGGCGTGGCAGAAGGGAGGGGAAGGAATGCCAACTGGCATTTTCAAAGGGGGAAGAGTACATTTCAGCAGTTATTTCCATCTGTAGGTGTGCACAGAACCTAAACCACAGCAGTCAGCCCAAACAATCCATTTTTTTGCAGGCAGCAATGCAACTGTGCACCTCTGCACCCCCGCCCACCCCAGCACTGCATGAAGCATTTTGCTCTATGCTCAGTATCATATAAGAGGTCAAATAATGGAGAAGTAATTTGGGTTTCTGGAAGTAATTTTACTGTATTCCAAGTAAATGTTGGCTACTTATGGAGTAAAAATTGGATAAGTATGAGGTCAAAGCTGGACAAGCTCATGATACTACAAGGACAAGGCTAAATGGGAGGATGTGTTGCCAAGACACCGTTAGCCTGGCATGTCTGTCAGTAACCATAGCCAACCACTGCCCTAGGAGCAGTGGGATCTCCATACCAAGTAGCATGATAAAAGGGTTCAGAGACCAAAATTCACCTATGCTTTAAGTGTAATTTATTCTGTAAAATAAGAACATTGCTGCAAACGTGCTGGGAAAAAAAAAAAACACATGTGGATGTGAAACTGCTGAACAGCCTTCACTGAGCTGGAGTTTGTTTCTAAGCCCCTACAGGTAAATTCCAGCTGTGGCACCAACTGCAAATGAGTTGAGAGGTCAGCAGCTTAGAATGTGATAGTCTGAGGAGAAGCACCCCACCATGGAGGATTAAGGTTAATTTGCAGATGCTCCCTGAAGTACTGGTGGTACTTACCCCTACATTTTATGTACGTATGTTTTTGTGCACGTGCATATAAACACAGCTGCAACGTTAGGAAACCAAAGCTGCCTCTGAAAATTGGTTTAGCTGTGCTTTCACTCTACTTAAGAATTAACAGTAAGTTAAGTAATAACTTACTTAATAGAGTAAGTTACTTAGCAATAAGTTATACCAGTCTTACATATCAGTGTTCGTTTTGACTATTTCCTCTACAAGACACACATTGAGAATCCCAGACTGTTCCCAGCAGTGAGCTGTTAAATACACAGAAAAGCAAGAAGACTAGGCCTGTAAGAGAAACCTAGGAAGAAAATCGGTGACTGTCAGCTGGAGGGGTATTTAAGGCAAGAGGCTGAGCAAGCTACCAGCCCCTCGCTCTAACAACCACTACCTCAGCATCAACGACTGCCTCAGCACAGGCGGTATCGTAAGTTTGGCAATAACAGTAACTGCACTACCTCTTGGGAATCTGGGTGAGGCAAGAAACCCTGCATGAAACAAAGGGCCTGTACATCTCTACATGGTAGGTGCAGACAACCTCCGCCTGTAGTTGGGCTGAGAGCTGCACCTAAAGGCGCAGCGAGCGGCAGGGAGTCTGCTGTGGTAGGCATGATGGATGTACCAAGAAACAGCAGCTGCCTCAAAGCTTGTCTGAGTGAAGCCGCAAGCTCCTGCATAAGAACAGACAATAACCCACATCTCCCCCTCTCTGGAGTGGTGCCTTCTATGTGATCACTCTCCACTGGTCCTTAAGCACAGTGGAGAGGCAAGCTTGGCTCTAAGGGGAACCTAGGCAGGAGTGGTCTGCATTTCAAAGAGAAAAAAAAACCTATTCTGAATCACCTGCCTCAAAATAAAACCAAACCAAACCCAGATGACTTCCTGAATACTGAGGCAATCTATACAGCAAGTATTTAGGTAAGATTTCAAAAGATGCAATGAATTAGAATTGTAACAGAAGCTCAAGAACAAAGGGTCATATTTTGAGCCTATCCAAGATGTGACAGTTTAATATAAATACAGGTTCAGAAGTGATGAGCTGATCTGCCATCCTGCCTCACAAAGCTTTTGTACGTCCAGGTACACAGAGCTGCCCCGATGGGAGAACATGGCACAAATTAAGGATACTGCATGGGTTACAAATCTGATTTCCCTTGCCTCTGTTGGGGTCTGTGGTTCTGCTCCGATTTTACCTTCGTTTGCTGTTTGCAGAACTTCTCCAAAGACAAGACCCTTAGAAATCTGTGCAAGATGCCACATGCCATTATAGCTATCCCACTAAACTTTGACTGCATCTTGCCACATGATGTAGAACCTAAAGCAGACCTGTAAGTGTAACTTTTAGAGACGGCAAGGAAATCACTTGGGTACACATGCACCGAAGTATTTACATCGAAGCTGGGACTGGTGCACACTTGAGGGAATTTCTGATGCATTTAAGGAAATAACTTACGGGTCTTGGCATACCAACTGTACTTTTATGTGAAACTCTTCGTTTACAGGGCAACTACAGCATTTCTTCTATCAGTCTATATGTACAGAATTTTACAGCACCTCATGCACTGTCCAAAACAGATAGAAATTACAGGTAAATATAGAATTTTTAGATTGAAATATCTGTATATTTAGAAAAATATACATTAGTAAACACAATAAACCAGGTAGAGAAGTGTACCTGTTCTAAAGTCTCACATGCAGGTAACATTTCTGGGTTAAGTCATGGTAGCTTTGTAATGTGGTAACAGACATGAGCATTTTTTGTTTTACCATCCACATACATACATATACACAGACAACTATTTGATAATTTACTTCTCTAAACTACTGAAATATTTATCTTGTGATACATACCACATATCTTAAATGTTTCGCAGCATCTTCACCTCGCTCAGACACACCTATTGTTATCATTAACAGTCAACCTAAAAAGGTCTCCTGCTTCGCATCTGGAAAATGAATGTTTAGTGCGGAATGATATACATGAAATTATTTTAACTCCTCCAAAACACTTCAGACAGCTCTTACATGAAATAATTGTCCTTTGCTCAAAGTCAGCCTTTCAGTATCTTTCTCTCCTAATTGCACAATGCACAGATCTCTTAACACCTGCTCTAGCGTACCCTGACTGTTGTGTAGATGCCTGAAACGGCACCAGCATTCTAAGAACCTCCAAGAATGCTCTGTTTTAAATTAATTCTCATTCTAGTCATCCCACCAGGTAGTGACAAAGGAAGCAGAATACCTGATGAAAATCTGATCTTGCTGAAAACCAAACCAAACCACAACCCACCACCACAAAAAAACCAACCCTTTCCCCCCCCAACATTACAAACTGCCAATGTGAACTCCCACTTTTCAAGGTTTAATGGATACATGCAAGGAATGTGATGTTTAGGTGAGGATTTTCCCCTTACAACCTGCATGTGGACATCCAGTTAAAACCTGCAGACACTTTGATATGATCTTTGCCTGCAACCTAAGCAAGCCATCTTCTCCTATTGCTTCAGAATGGTACTTCCCAATAGCATCTACACTACCACCACCAAATGGTCAGCCACTAGGCTCCACTCTGCTAAGTGCTGGATTTTGAAACACTGGGAACCTGCATCAAAAGCTAAAGCTTTAGTTTTTAACAAATACATGGCTGGTTGGAGATGGCTGACTAGGGAGGCTCTTGTAACAATATTCTCCCTGGGATGGAAACAGAAGGAGCAGAGGGGTTTTCCTAACTAAACCTTGGTGCCCATGTTTCATGTGTTTCATCTGGTTAAGTAAATTTATGGAAAAAAGGGATGAAAATAAGTGATAGTTGCAATACAAAGTACTACGGTGTGGAAACAGAGGAATCTTCTCATTCTGTTCATTAGGGAAGAGTGAGCTCAGCCCACTTTTGGCATCACATATAGAGTATTTTCTAACTCGTAATGTAAAAGGCATCGTATCTGTCCAGACAGCACATCCTATTTACAGCATACGTAGCTCTCCTATTCCACAGTAAATAAACACAGTTTAGTCACGTCTAGCATATAGTGCCAAGAGCAAATCATTAGTCATGCAATGGCTTTGCTATCGTTGCTGCTACATACAACACTCAATCCATTTCTCAAAGCAGCCTCTGAGTGATAGGATCACAGAACATGTCTCCTGGGAAAGGAAAAGTCTCATGCTGGTGCCACATTTAAAAGCTTTGCCAAACTTAAACAAAACCAGAGGAAAACACATCCTGAAAAATGTAACAATAAAACAAAGTTTTCCTCAGAGAATTTCAGATCCCCTCTGAGAGACCAAGATCTCAGTACCAGGAGCCACAAGGATTACCTGTGCTATAAACAGCTTCAACTAATGTTTTCCACACACACAGATCTCAAGCCCTCCTTGCCCTTTTTACCCCGCAGCAACCAACTTCATAGGCTTTGCAAAAATCACCTGTAGTATACGGGTGTTTGTCTGGAGGGGTGTTTGAGATTGACACTTTTCCAATACTGCATCAACTCCATTTTTCTTTTCCTTGTGCACATAAGTCTTTAAAAGCCCCAGGAAGCAACACTGGTTTACAATGTCTAAGCCTCTTTTCCTTCAGAAATAGTTCTGATGAAGTTGCCTTTCAATAGCATTCCATGTCACACTTTGGTGTTGAGAAAGAAGTCAGAAGCCAGGTGCCTGTCACCAGATGGAAGAGAAATTAAAACAGATAGATGACTTCAGTTCAGACACCTAATCTGGTAAGTGATGGTGAATGTTACTATATACAACAGCTGACATTACAATATAAAATAGGGTCACAAAAAGAGCTAGTCTTAGCAATGAGCTACATTTTCATTTTGTTCTTATTAAGCAGAAATTTACATCAGCATAAGTTTTGATCAATGAACTTGAGCCTAATGTGAATTGTATCAATGAGCCTACTAAGGGAAGACCTGTCATTAACAAAAGGAAGTATGTTGTAAAACAAAAAGGTACAAACAACATCATTGCTTTTTAGCAGTAAGCTTCCAATTCACAAACTAGCTCGTTAAAAATGCAATTAAAACCAATGCAACAAAAAGCACAGAAACTCTACTACATCACGCTCCTAAAAATACAGCAGTTGACCACATACAAATATTCCAAAAATATAGAACCCAGCTGGCTAGCACAGAAAATTAAGCCAAAGATCACCATACAAATATCAAACAATGTCCTAAGAAAAGAAAATGCCCCCCTTTTTCTTAAGCAATGTGTTTTCACAATGTGAATAAATACTCCTAAATGTTAAGCTTCACTCTACAAGGCTCCACGTTACCAGGTTCTCTCCCAGGCTACTTCCCCATTATTCCAATTGCATGGAGTTACCCTGTGTACCAGCTTTCTAATATCAGTCCTTCAGCCACAACAGGCTAACAGGCTGGCTCTCCAAAACGGCCTCATAAGCAGCATGCAAGGTATTGCTTTACGTTATTTGAAGAGACGCATGTAAGGGAACCTACACAACAGTTGTCAAAATCAAGAGACAGAAAGAATTTGTGAAACATCAAGAATGCACCAACATTAAGCGGAAAGAAGCTGGAGCAATGGAGCTGTGTGTTTGTTGCTGCTTTTTAATACTTAAAATTCTGCTCCCATGAAGTTATTATTTTATAAGGAAAAAAAAAACCCAAAGAAATTATAGAGTTCTTTCCTAATAAGAGCTATAGACTTTTGACTGGTTGAACACTGACGTTAACAAGGTTTACAAAATATTATTTCAAGTATCCTTTTTTTAATCACAGTGAAAATGTAAGACCAAGATGTAAGTGTTGAAGTGAATGACTGAAAGTTTCTTAGATGAAAAAGGCAAAGGTACTAAATCAAAACATAGAAAAAATGCTTAAACGCATTTCCTTCATGTGATATGAATAGAAAGGTTACCTGTAAAAAGTTAGAAAAATTAAAATAAATTACATATTTAAGTACACTTTCCCTTCAGCATTTCTATAAAAATTCAGAACAGTGTACTTTGGAATATACACAGAGTAAAAATGCACAGGTGCCGTAGTCATCGCCGGTATCTACACATCGCATCAGCGTCTTGCTGCAGCTGAATTTGTTACTTGAGCTCCTCCTGGGAAACCTCAATATACCCAACTAATTGGGACCCACTGCGGTTCCAGCCTCAGCCTCTCGATAGCAGTCTGCAGCTTCTCGAAGGCTTTGTCTAGGTTGTCATTTACAATGGTCAGATCAAAATAGTGGTTGTATGCTCTCTGGATCCGTGCACTTTCATCCACTGTTTTCTTCAAATCAGTGTCCTGGTGAAGAGATCAGAGAATTCAACCAGGTTGGAAAAGACCTCCATGATCATCAAGCAGGTTTTACAGGTTACTGAGAACATAAACCTTGGTGAATCGTTATAAACATGCAAGAAGTATCCTTTCATTACCTACAACTGACTACTTAAAGAATATATTTAAAAAATAGTTAAGGAAGTCTTCATTTACAGTAAATCCACACAGAAATTAGCTAAAACATATTGAAAGGGTTGAAAAAGTTACGAGCTGTGCCAATAATGTTAAATATGACAACCAAATGTTTGCAAATCTGGCAATTCTTAAGCACGTCAATAGACACACATGAATGATGCACATCAGTTTGTATCTGCAACTGACATTCAATCAGAATGAAAGTGATGCTTTAGGAATGACTGAGTCCATCAGTTATGTAGATATATTTGTGCATTTTATTTCCAAGGAAAGCACAAAAAAAGTCAAAAATTTAAACTAGTGGGAAGTTAAAAGACATTGAAAGATACATTTCTAGTAGAAAAAAACTCTAGAATACCTACAGCTTTTAGAGGCTACATTTCAGCCTTGCTCACCTGATGTCAGATCCTGATGTGTGAACTACTGCTGCATTGTTTAAGTTCTGACATGAGCTACACACGGACTTTATATCCCTACATTACAAAGCCTTCATGAAGTACTGTCACTGAGCACTTTTTTATGTTCCATTAGTCCTACATTCTTAGAAAATTCCTCTGCACTTCTGCACAAAAGCCATTTTTTTCCTAAGCTGTTCTGAGATTTGTCCCCTTGACAGTATTTCTTTTAAAATGTTCATGTCCTGATACAGTTGTAAACAGAAAAGGCAAAATGAAAAAGTAAGCTTCTGAACAGCCTCTCCTTCCCAGTAAATGAAGGAGATGAGCAAACGTATCACTGCAACAGCCACAATTTTTGCAATAGAATGGTTTAGGATGCTAGAAATAATGTAGACAGACCCACTAGCAAGCAGAACATAATACTTAATATAATAACATAAACTTAATAATACAAATGACATTTGTTTTTCACTTGTTCAGGAAGTACACAAAGATGAAATGGGAAATCCTACTCTTTATCTACATGAGTACAGATACAATCTAGAATGCATAAAGATACATAAATGTACATTTAAAATGTAACTATACTCTTTATTCATAAGGACAAGAGAGGCAAGTATGTGCCTTAGGGAATCAAATATTAGAAAGTGTAGGGAATTATTTTTGTACTTGTCTGGACAGTTTTAACCTTGCCTTCTTAACACAGAATCACAGGATGGTTTGGATTGGAAGGGACCTTAAAGCTCATCCAGTTCTAACCCCCTGCCACAGGCAGGGACACCTTCCACTACAGCAGGTTGCTCCAAGCCCCATCCAACCTGGCCTCGAACACTGTCAGGGACGGGGCAGCCACAGCTTCTCTGGGCACCCTGTGCCAGTGTCTCATCACCTTCACAGTAAAGAGCTTCTTCCTAATGTCTAATTTAAACCTATCCTCTGTCAGTTTAAAACCATTCCCCTTTGTCCTGTCGCTACACGCCCTCTCCAGATCTCTTGTAGGCCCCTTTTAGGTACTAGAAGCTGCTCTAAGGTCTCCCCAGAGCCTTCTCTTCTCCAGACTGAACCATGCCAACTCTCTCAGCCTGTCTCCATAGCAGAGGTGCTCCAGCCCTCTACCATCATCCTTGTAGATGCATTGCAAAATTCAGGGTTCACATGGAGCAGGGAGGAAAGGCAGAGCATCCACACAGATACTAGAATCTGTAATAGCCAGAATCCACAACTAGGAGTGACAATCTCTGATGTGGTTACGAGAATGGGATCTCACAGGTTTGAAAAGAAGGAAAGAAGAAATTAAGGGGAAAAAAAAAAAAAAAAGAAGGAAGTAAGACTAAAAATCCCATATTCATTTAGTGGAAATTAAACCACCAGCCTGTTTTTATTGCTCTGAATGCCTTGTCAGCATTATACAAGATATTGTTACTAAGCTGCAGCAGTATTGTGAGCTGCCAGCTAACCATGGCTTTTCTCAGTTCAGGAAGCGGTACTACTCCTTAACTGCTCAGTCTGGCTTTTTTGCTTTGGTCCTGCAGCTGGTAAATTCATGTCCATATAGAGTATTTATAATTTGCTGCACCAAGGAAGCATGTCTCATTTCTCTCCACTACACACAGTGTCTCAGAAAAGGAGAGAAGATCTAAGGAATAAAATGTGCCAGTTCACTTTACATAACAAATCCAAGGAACCCAAAGGGAAGAGAAGCTGTTCAACAGTTCCTGTTCCAGCAGCTCCCAGGCATTCTCAGTGCAGCATGTGCTGCTGCAGCAGTGGAAACAAGGCCTAGTTGCATTCTGTTGTTTGTTGGGTTTTGTTTGTGGGTGTTTGTTTTCTTTACGTAGGCTGCAGTATCTTTCCTAAGGATTACAGACTGCATTTTTAAAGCACACCTACATTACAAGACAAACCCAAAGAAAACTTTTTTTGGGAGAAAGATGTGGAAAGTAAAGGAAAGACATTTACATAAAAGAACAACTCCCACCATCAAATATCTCCCATTTGCTGCAAATAATCAAAGGTGACACTTCACAAAGAACACATGATGAGTAATTTTTGTAATCAACGCTTTTCTGTAAGGGGTCTATTTTTAAGAAAGAAGCAATCTGCCTTACACATAGTACTTGATTAACTTCTACTAAGTAATCAGCAAAAGCCTTGCCTTACTTTTCTTAAAGACATTCATTGCAGAACAAATTCTACCTAAAATGAAAGGTAAAATCCAAAAATAATAATATCAGAACATCTTGTTCAGAGCAAACTAAATGTGAAGTGATCTGCTTACAGTGAGAAGTTTGGTTGTAATTCCAGCATCTACCACAGCCTTGTGCATAGCACGCAGAGTCTCCAACTCCGGAGCAGCAATAAACACCACATAGGGCATGAATTCAGAAGTCCTCAGTATTTTCAGGGCCTAGAAGCAAAGAAGAATTAAAAAAAAACCCCGAAGTTTGAGAATGACTCACCACACATCACCGTTACTTAAGGGGCACTGCAGAACCAGTCTGTTACAATAGGCAGAAACACATAAGTGACGATTCCTATTTCTATTTCAGAAACTCCTACACTGCTTTTTGAAACGCTCAACATCATTCTTTCCTTGGCTAAAAAGATTATTTATGACTCTGTAAGCCTCCCATTCTAAGCAGAATCCTTGTTGGCTTTTTTCCACCTAACTCATTCCAACTAAGTGCCATAAACGCAAGAATCCAGTTGATATTGTAATCTTCAAACCACATAAGAAGACTTCAAATTTAAAGGCACACCACTTCAACACTACAATCCTACACTTGCAGTATAGCGTTATGAATGATATACCTGTGGATTCACGTCCAAGATGCAGGTCCTTCCTGTCTGAACAACTTCAAGGATGGAATCAATTTTGGTGCCATAAAGATTTCCTTCATATTCTCCATGCTCTAAATATCTGCCAGCTTTAATATCCATCTCCATTTCAGCTCGTGACACGAATCTGTACGCTTGCCCATCTTTTTCATCATCCCTGGGCTTTCGTGAGGTAACTAAACAACAAATTTAAAATACAAATTGAATGTTTTCTTTTTGCATTTGGAATACAAATATGAGGCTGGATTGCCTGTTAGGGAAAGTAAAATACATATTAACATACAATTATAATTGTTTCATATACAATTAATTATTCTGATGTAAGTTTCAAAACTGAGCACAGCCCCTCTTGCTCCCTTTATTTCTATTCTTTTCCTATATGTTGCTTACCATTTGCCTATTTCCTTTGTATTACTCCTTCACACCATATACAATACTCATTAATGTCATCTTCTGAATTATTCACTTAATGTAATATTAAAGTGACTCAGAATCAGATGAAAGCTTAACTCTCAAATGCCAAATATACTTCTGAAAATAACTGAGCACACATCAAACTCTGCACTGTCCTGCCCCCCCAAGCCTCAGCACATAACTTCGCTCACTGTATTTGCCCTGTTACTCAGGGCAGAATTACCTGAGCTAGCTATAAAGAAATTAACTTAAATATCAGAAGAAACACAGCCACTGCAGCAGAAAATGAATGGAGGCGAGCTAATGTTGCTTTCTGGGACAACTTACCCTTTGAAGGAAGGTGAATTCACTGCAGAGATTAAAGCCAATTTTTAAGTAAAACATTAGCAGCTCTCTTGGGTATTGGCCATACTGTGCAGTGCACGTGTTATTTAAGCAAGAAAGTGAAAAGAAAGTAAATAAAATAGAAGTATCAGGTTATTACCAACTTCACTGTCCTAACACCATGTTATTTATCCGTTCTTTGCATTTAATCAGACTTGAACTCTTAAAATATATTAAGTGCTCCAGTGAGTGGTTCCCTTTGTAATACTTGTATCACCACTGGGTGACAACCATCACTTGGTGCAACTTGGTGATACAAGTGGAAAGCATTCGCCCCCTTCCAGTAATTCCTATCAGCTTTGTTATTATTGAAAACTTGGTTGAAATGATCTTCTGAAGCTGCTAGTAGTAAAGCAGTAAACAAATTACTAGAACATCTAGGCTTTAGCCAATATTCTACACAAAGATTAATACTGGAATGGTTAATACAATTAACAAATCATAGCAGTATGAGACAAATTTTGAAGAATGAGCTTTACCAGTTTATAGCATACAACAGTATATGTATGTTTAGATGTAACACATATATATGGGGGGAGGAAGACAGAGAGAGGAGATATATATAGTGAAAGACTCCATATACAATAAACTGTGTACTGCATGTGCATGATTAAATTGTCAGATTACTAAATTGGAATTTAATGCCCTTAAAGGGTGCTCAAGAGCTCCAAGTAAAAGCATTTTAACACTGTGTTGCATTACTTACATATATTTAAATATCTATATAGTATTTTAGGGAAAACAATAATTCTGAAGGCTTTTAAAAAGGGAATAAGGAATTTTATAGGTAGTAAAAAGTTTCTTCCTATTTTGCCAGTATGAAGTAGTAAGATTCCCAGAGGAGGATTTCTTTTACAAAATTAACAGAAGTCAAACTTGTTGTCAGTTACACATAGCAATTCTAAGTGCCAGTTTTGGCACTAGAGAGATTCAGTAAACGAGACAGACCAGTTCTCTCATGTTGCACAATATATCTTTCAGACCTCTCCCTCCTCCCCGTTATCAGATCTACTTGTTGCCCACTGAGAACTGAAGGGAAAAGAGTGGGTTTGAAATGCTGAAAAGCAGCTGGAAGGAGGAGAATAATAATGAGGCTTGGGTGGATGTCTCTGGACAGCAAACAGGAGGGGGCATTAAAGAAATAAAGATCTTGCGAATCAGCAAAGTAACCTTCTGGAAAGAAGGCAAGAAAACAATGCTTCAGGAAGAGAGGAGGGGTTTTTCTGAAGTTGATAAGGAGAGAAAGAAAATAAGAAAGACCATGTGCTTGAGGCTAGATGTATTAAGACATAACAGTACCATACAAATCTTGGAGACCACACACACTTCAGTTTTATTGGAAGTGTTGCTTTTTCCTACATTTCTGATACTAAAGAAACAATTTATAATGCCAAGGATGCTTCTACAGATGGAAAACTCCATGGCACACCTGAGAAACTCCACTGGCTGTTCATTACAGAAGAGTGTTAGGAACTTCTAGAATCCTCTCAGTAACTGATGGTGACCAGCACTGAAGAAACCTAGCAGACTGAAACACTGCACATACAAAGTTGTTTTATTGCACCATCAGTAACATTTAACTGGTAGTGACAAATATTTTCACTGTCATCATATGTTAGCTCTGTTGCCTGAGAAGATGAAGAACCTTTTGTTTTCCCATGCTACATAACTTTCATATTCTGACAAAATTCCTCCTACCCTGAATCACTGGGATAAACATCAGGTATTTTCCAGATAATCAGACTCATAGTACAATACTACAATAGGAGTGCTGGCAACTTACATGGCACTGTGGTTCCAAACCTAGTAGGATTCAGTACTATAAACCTGTTCTTCAAACTTCTTCGTCCCACTCCTTGGGCCCCAATTAAGACCAACGTTTTCCTCTGAAAAGGAGGCATTTTGGCTACTTCTTCATAGATCTGGATTTCATGACGATCAAATTCTACATTGAGAAATGTACAAAACCAATTAACACCCAGACAGTACTGTAAGAAAAAAAATTAAGCAGTCATGCTATATATAAACAAACCATATGTGAATATAAATAGTACTCCAAGGGCATTAATTCTGACGCAAGCTTTCTTACTTTAAATTGGCATGGGAATAAAACAGTTACCCCTTCATGGACAGCATAAGTCACATTATTACCTTTACTTCCAGTGAGAAAGTCTGAGATTGACCACAGTGGGAAAACTGATCAAGAATTGGTGAGCCTTCACAGCATCACAGAATTCTTAAGGTTGGAAGGTATCTCTGGATGGCATCTGGTCCAACCCTCTCCTCAAGCAGGGCTACCTGGAAATCATGCTCAGGACCATGTCCAGGCAAGCTGTCAGTTATCATCAAAGAGGGAGACACAACAACCTCTCTGGGCAAACGCAGTCATAATCCCAGTGGAAAAAGTGTTTCTTGATGTTCACAGGGAACATCCTGTGTTGCTGGTTGTTGCCTCTGGTCTTGTCACTGGACTTCTCTGAAAAGAGCCTAGCTATGTCCTCTTTGCACCCTCACTTCAGGTATTTATACCCACTGATGAGATCCCTCTGAGCCTTCTCCAGGCTGAACAGACTCAGCTCTTCCAGCGTCTCATAGGAAAGATGCTCCAGTCCCTTCATCATCTTCGTACATCCATATTTCTCTTGCACTGAGGAGGAGCCCAGTTCACGTGAGGTGTGGCCTCATCAATGTTGAGTAGAGGGGAAGGATCACATCCCTCAACCTACTGGCAGCAAAGCTTTCACTTCTTTTCCTCTTTGTAAAAAACATTTCTTCTCTGACCCTCACCTACCAAAAGGTATACTCAGCACCATCATATCCTCACTGATCATTACTGCTTTTAAAACATAAAAACTATCTATCAAACAAATTTATAATCAAATCCTTTACTGCAATTCTTTCAGCTTTGGATCTTCTAGACTCCGCAAGTTCAGAAGGCTAAAGTACTCTGATGTATATGTAATATTAAGAGATACCTGCATTTCTTGTAGTGAGATACATCATCTTTTTCTTTTTTTTGCTGCTTATTGTTCCACAGAAAGGCCCTAGAAATAAAAAAAATGAGACAAACTCAGAATTCTAGCTGAATGTCTTCTTCCAACACTTATTTACATGAACATATGCAGGATTAGATTAATTAAATGTACAAGGACTAGTTTATAGATTTTTATATATTCTAGGGCAGAAGATCACATATATTTTCATTCACATCAAATGGTATCGTAAGAACTGAAGACAGAAGACATTTTCTTAGAAAGCTTTGTAAAAAATAGCAGAAAAAATAAATTAAACATGTTTAATTTATTAACTTTCAGTTTATGCTACAAAAACAGAATAAAGAGCTTTTTAAAAAAATAATAATAATAAAATGGCCTTTCCCACCTAACTTAGCTTTTCATCAGCAGGTGGCAAAATCGGTTCGTGTACCTATGAAGACTAAGCATAGGCTTCAGCCTTTGTCTTTCAGTCAAAGCCAAAATACAATAATTTTGCAACATTCTGTGTATTCTCACACAGCAGTTTTCTAGTCTGTATGAAAGCAGGAGAAGCATAACAGATGGAGCAAAATCTACCCCTGAAATTCATTAAATCTTACCTGAATTATCCCAGTCCCTCCTCACAAAGGCCTTTCTCTTCTCTTCCAGGAACTGGCTGGGAATAAGCCCTGCACTTCCTCCTTCTTTGACATGACTAGCCTGGGGGAAAACAAGAAAAAACACAGGTAAGCTGGGAGAAGCATTTTTCTCATTGACATAATGATGTCTGACTTTCACACTGCCAATGTTTCCCAAAGATGGTATCGATACATTTACTACTGACACTTCGAAATTCAAACTCAGATTTGGGTATTCCGTCTTACAGTAACAGTGTCCTCCCATTGAGTATTAAAATTCAGTAAACAAATAAAACAGATACATTTCATTACTGGTTCCCATTAAGTTAGTAAGCTCCTATAGCCGTAAACCTTTGGCATCAAAATGGAATTCTCCAGACATTGAACTCTCAAGTGACAAACCCCAAGACTTTCTAGTACATTGCAGACTTATTTTGTACTCGAGCTGCTCCAAACAGGATCAGTGAAGCTTATTAACAGTCATTTCACAAACAGTCAATGTCATTAATACATGCCTAATCATGCCTTAAGCTTTTTGCACTTAACTAGAGATTTAAAATCTTAGTAACTGAAGTATTCCTAGTAATGAATGTTTGGCTAAGATTCTGTACAAAGTAATTTCATGGCTAGCTCAATTCTCAGCAAGCTTAACACATACAAACACACAATTATGAAATGTACACTTTTCTTCTCCATAACTGGTTAGCCTGTCTCTTGCTATCAGGAACCATTTCCTTTTACCTATGACTGACTGGTATTTTACAGTTAGCAATTTTTCAGTAACAGTCTGGCATTTCTAGAAAACACAAGGAAAAACTATTTTTTTCTCTCCAATGGCACGATCTGCATAGCAGGACTTGCAACACACTATACTGGTTTAACGCATTTCATGTTTGCTACCCATAGAGTATTTATTTCTCATCGGCACCCACCAGTTACAACTGGAGGACTTGAAAAGCAATACAGAACACAGCATGTAAGCTAAATGTCAAACTACTACAGAGTTAATTGAAACTAATGAACTTGGCAGTAAGAAATTTTGTGCCTTCCCTCACACTTCTCACTGACAAGCAACAGAATTCAGCAACAGTTGTTGATGTATATTCAGATATTTTTGTAGCTCTTAAAGAAGTCATGCATCTCTTGCTCTCAAGTAATGTTTGGCTTGTTATCTAGCAAAGGGTGAGCAATTAAGGGGTAGAAAGGGAAATGAGTAACGCTAAACTTTTTGCCTAGATTGCCACTGCCACTTGCAATTTTGAGTATCTTGGTTGAGAAGAGTGTCCTAAAGGTTCACTAATCCCACTTTCAATGGCACTGATGATGTTCAATTGTATGTATAGTGTTTTGGAAAAATGAAAACCAGCATAAATACTGGATTACATGTCTACTGAAGGACTGAATGAGGAAATACAACCTTAAAGCAGGATGAACTGTTAATATTTGAAATAGTGCCAAACATTTTGATTATGAACATGCATGTTACAGCTCACATACAATGACCACCACCGCAGAAATAAAAGACAGAGCTTCTTCAAACAGCTATTCTCACTCCTCTTCAAATCTGCAGGGTTAATTTCCCTCTCTCTCCTCAACTCTGAGCACTCAGGAAGGGGTTCACTTCTTCCATAGTCGCTGTCAGGGAAGGCTTACTACAATTAACATAGTCAACCTAAGACTTTCAGCTAGAAATTATCCACTTAAAACCGACTGTGGAATGTCTAGGCTTATGATACAAGAACAAAGACAAATAAAAAGCAGTAATAGCAAAATGAGTGTTACAATTTATACCATTCAATTTTCTCTAGTGTTTCAACTGTTAATATCTTGATATTAGCTTGAAATTAGATTGCAATGTAAATATTTTTTCTTATATCTAGTTTTAAAGGGAAGAAAATCACCATTTAAAGAGTTTACTATTACAGCAACTACTGAAGCTTTTAGGGGGTTCTTATTTTACTTTTTAATCTTTTTACCAACCTGCCACCAATTTGGATCTTCCCGGTTTACAATCTGAAGAATTTCTCCTTTAGAAAATTTCAAACCTGCTTCTTTGCATGGGATGAGGTTGTCATTATATGGATTATAATCAAAATGACACTTCACAAAAACCTGAAATGGGGAAAAATTTACAAAGCTTAAACATTATAAAATGCATTCTTATTTGTTAAACTGAAATAATGTCTTTACCTACAGTTAGACATGATCAAAGTTGCATTTGGCAAGTAAAATACAATCTGTGGAAAAAAATGGCATATACCAGCTGAGAGAGTAGAATAATCAGCAGTGCAAGCCTTGGATGAAAGAGCTTCATGATAAAAATAAACCCCCCAACTGCTCTATTTGGACAGTGTATTACGAAACACTCATTTCTGCGTCTCAGTATATGCAATTCAATTAGTATTCTGACTTTAAATTACTTAAAAATATTTAAAAAACTCTCAGAATGTGAGCACTGCATTCAAGGCTTGTGGAATCTTAAGAATTAATTTGGCCATTAAATCAGTGTTTTAAATCAAGCAAGATATGTGACTGCTTAAGACTCAAATTTAATGCAGATGAAGAAATAATCAAGATGCACCAACAGACTGGAAACATCTTTTGACTTTTTTCTACCAGGTTGGGGAACAAAGGAAGCAGCGCACCTGCCTCAAATACAGCACATTCCCTCAGCATCTACTCAGTGCTGGCATAGTCTGTTACAGTCACAAGCATTAGACCCACTACTTGAAGGAGTGTCTTATATGGTATTTCAGAGGCTTAGAGGACTTGTTTTAGAGGTACAAGTTACCTCTGCAGTGGAGAAATCAACACCCTACAGCAACAACAGAAGGATAAGGAATTGCCACCATCCAAACTCCTACTTAAGTTGGGGAGTTCAAACTCAGCTGTTGAATTCCATATGTTCCTGAATACTACGAAAGAGATTACTTGGACACTGATCATGTTATAAACACATGCAGTTCACTGCATGTTTAGTGTGAGTGTGGCTAGATCAGCAGAGGTCACTGGATGTCAAAGAAACACGACTTATATGTCGTATATAAATGCTCATCAGTTTTAGATACTAATAAAGTTTTTTTATGCAGGGATATTAGGTGTGGTATCAGTCTACAGAGTAAACCCGCTTCCACAATGTAATTAAAGGTGAATACAGGTATATATAGTTTAGACTTCTTGCCAGCATTAAATACATAAAATAATTAAAAGATCTTAAAATAATCTTTTGACAGGAACTTAGAAATGTGCTACTGACCTGTTGAGGAATAACAGTGTCTCTGTAGCTGGGGAGAATCTTCAGAGTGACACTGCCACTAATATTTTTCAGCAGTTCCTGCAACTCTTTTGGATTGTTTCCAACCTCATGGCCATTCACCTCTTTAATAATGTCACCTACATGCAGAAGACCTTGTCGATCTATCATTCCACCATGTAGAATTCGTGCTATTACCAGATCATTGTTCTCAACTCTAAATGTAACACCCTGAAAGAGGTATGTGACAGCTAGTTTACCACCATTTGAATTTCATTTCATTTTACCATTATCTCAAGCAAAACCATGTGATTTTTCTATCTACCTCAATACAACCAGACAGTAATAGTTACTACAGTGTAAGAGTTCCTAATACACAGATAAGCATCAGGTGACACAAAAGGGCTTTCAGACAAGCTTTTCATATGACTGAACTTTTATTTATTACGTGCAATCCTGTCATTTTGTACCACGACCAAAAGGGACATTGTGTTAGTCAGTCATCCTAGCAAGTCATTCAGCCTTGTGACTGCTTGCTCGCCATCCCATAATTTCTTTAAAAGAACGAATATAGTCTTGTATCAACTTCTCAATAATGATCTTATCACCCATTAAATTACATAACATAATAATGGAAACAATTAAAACATAATGCAAGAAATCAGGCACATGAAAACATTTTCACTTAGACTTTCAAGACACACATATCTTCAGTGACTTACCAATGGTTCTCCTGCTCTTTTGTGAATTCCAAGGATACGAATAGCATCTACTGGAACAATCTGGTTGTTCACTGAAGAATTATTGACTTCTGGGCTAGAAGGAGGGGAATCGTAACATTTTGAAGCCACAATATCATGTGCTTCTAAGAGTGACTGCAAAGGAACAGAAAAAAAAAACTTTTTTTCAAACCATGATATAACCATTTCCAAAAGGGTTTAGTGCTGAATAACCACTGAATCTGCGCTTTTGGGATCAGACCATAAAACTCTCAGTTCACATGGAATGGAGCAAAAATTGACGTACAAGTACTCACACAGACTGATAAGCCTATTATCTTGGTAAATATGCTCTCTTTTGGAAATACAAATGCTTCTTAAGGAAGCATAGAAGAAATGCCGTGAATCTGTGAGGAATATGTGATCTTGCAGAGAAGATTGAAAAAGGAGTACCTAAAATAGCTTTCCACCTAATGAGACAGTATCTGAGCAAATGGTTAAAGTAAACAAACAACCCTCTGCAAAAAAAATGAAGATAACTCATCATTAGATACTTGTACTTAATGTAATAAAATTTTCCTCCACAGTAATTTGGATAATTACAGGTATGCAAGGATTTCTAGCAATCTGCAGAATGAGTGATTTCTGCTTGCATAAAGCCAAGGCAGAATTCTAGCACCAAATGAATCCACGTTGACAGAATTCACTTTCTGGAAGACAAGAACTCAGACCTTGTAGTTAATGGTGTTTTCCCCAGTCCCTGTACATAAATACAAAGCAAAAGGAGGAGATACAAATAAAAATAATCATCTTTGGAAGACAACGCAATTTAGACTTAATTTTTTCATAAGAGATACTTTAAAATTTAAAGAAAAGATTTATAAGACAATACATACAAGTAAAGCAATATCAGACAGTTCCTGTCTAGAAGAGGAAAAGAGATTCCTATAGCCACCATCTATGATAGTTGTAGATAGATTCCTATAGCGCAGAACTCTCACTGACAGATGCAGGAAGAGGAGAAGAAGCAAGTGGAAGAGATGTCTACTAGGCTTCAAACAACATAGTTTTGTCTCAGACAGTGACCTGATAAGATACAGTCTTAAGTCGTATCACTGACTGGTATGAAATAAGTAGCTAAAATGAGAAGACATGATTAGGGACTATCACAGATAGTGACATGCACATGCCAGGGGAAGACAGCAAACTACTAGAAAGCAGAGCACGTGAGCAGGCAAAATTTAGGAAAATTAATAATTTTGCTATGCAGTCTGCTCTATCCTTCTGTAAGCCACTTCCAACTTAAAAGTTGTGCAACCATATTAGTTTAGTGCTAACCTCAACATGCAAGTCCTCAAAACATCACAAACCTGAACAGTCATTGTCATCTGCCCATCACACAATGACCCTGCTGATACTTGAACTTGAGGTTAGAAGGAGAATTCACTGATTCTGCCCCTGCCATTAAGACTGTAAAGACAGCTGCTTATTGTGGCAGCTCTGATACTGTGGACAAACCAAATCAAATTAAACATGAAAAACAATCATTTATTTAAATCAAGCAGCTGTCAGATGGTAGCAATTTCTAATTCTTCATTATCCAAGACACATCCAATCCAGAAACCGTTAAGAACAGATCTCTATTTGCCAATGTTTGCAATAAGCATTTTTTATCTTTCTACATTCCCAACATGAAACCAACTAACATCAAGCACACATTTTAACACAGTGCCACTGACAAAAACAGGTAGATACACCAGTATGATACTACCAGTATTCTCTTTTAATCACATGCTAGAACAAGTTGTTCCCAAACTTTCTGGCCACAAACCAATAGATTTCTTGTGGAACCTTACACCTAACCATGCCTGTACAGCTCCCTGACGTAGTGGTCATATAATTTATGGATTATCATCTGATCCGCAGTCAAAACAGGCTACTAAACTAACAGTCTCTGTCATCCTGTTAAAATTAACATGCTCTGTAAGATTCTTCAGTTCTTAAATCTAATCCTATTCCATATGCTGATCCGACTGATTCACTCGGTTTTATGGACAAGCATGAATTCCTTCAATTACTACTTAACAATCTCTCAACCACAAAATCTTTACCCTGCTCTTTACACGATGGCTGAGTCACAGAAAGACTATCAAGGACCCTACACTGCTGCCCACGATTATAAAATGGTTTCTTTAAGTAAAATAGTTCATTGCTTTCCTTAAAGCAAGACATAGGTAAATTTTTACCATCCCATACCTAACTCTCAGTTCTGAAACTCAAGGATACCATACCAGTTTTACGAGACTATTTCTAGCCTACCAGGTCACAGCATAGAGTCCTGAAGGACACTGAAACAAAGCCACCTGGCAACAAGGGCTATGTGTTTCTAGCTGCTGCTGGACTGCCCTCCAATGTTTTACGTCACTCAGTACTTATTTCAGGAATACGGCTGAGTGATCTGAGAAATGCAGTTGCATAAGCTTCACTTGTTTCTTTCTTATGGTATTGGTAAAAGTGATATCCTGTGCTCCTGCAGCTCCAGAGCTCCTCTGGAATCTGACCTTTCTCATACTGGTGCTGGAACGCTTATAAAACCACTGCTGAAGTCTGCAAAACAACATGGACTGAATAATGAACAACCATAAAACAGTTCAAAGTTTCTTCCATGCTGCACATGTAAACAGGATCAGCTGACTATCCAAAACTGAGTAACTGCAGAAAGATTGTCATGGAAAAAATAGCAATATTGCCAGGACAGGACATTTAGAAGAACTCTCTGCATATCACAAGGCATACTGCACAACAGACATACAGTCCTGTGGCAGACAGCATGGCTCCTTTGTGCAAGATACTGTCAGAAAGTCATTTATAAACTTAAAACCTGTCAACTTCTTTACAATAGTTTTCTGTTGCTGTACTTATTTGACAGGTAAAAAAATAATTAAGAAGTAACCATTCTATGATTCTGTGAATTCAAATTCAGTAAAGAAAGAACCATTAAACATCCAAAGCTCTCTACAGCGCTGAAGCCAAGCTCAAATTCAGAATCTGTTTTTCCTAAAAAGATTCTCAGCTCCATCTCTACATGATCTGAAGCACTGTCTGCCCTATATCATAATTATTTCCCCAACAGAAATTGTTCTGTGATCCATCAGAACAAATAAATTACAAACTGGGGGCTGGGGTGGGGGGAATACACAAGAGCAGAACAACTCTATGGTCTTGAACTCAGGACTCCTTTCCTAACACTTCCGGCCTCAGAGGTACTTTTTTTATTTCTATTCCTCCTTTATGCACTAAACATGGGCTTGTCTTATTTGATAACACTGTTTAAATATCAGAATTTAATAAATAAACTGCAGGCCCCTAATGTACATGTAAAAAGATGACATTTTTAAAGGTTTTTCTGAAAAAGTGAGGAAATCATTTAAGATCATAAGAGAAATCTGGGGGACTGGTAAGGAGGCATGAATATGTGCAGAAAATAACCCTGTAAATTAAGATCTGTCCAGGAGGCAACTTAAAATCACTTTGCTAAATGGAACTTTTTAAAAGGTATGATTAGCCATTATAAAGCTTACTATTAGCAGAAAATATTGGCTTCTTTTTCAGATGAAGTAGATTCAGCAGCCTCTACTGTTCAGGATGAATGGCATGTATAATTCTTGGGAAGGTGAAAGTAACTGAACAAGTTCTTTCATAAGCAGCAGAAATTACTCCTCTGCAGGTTTAACCGCTCAAACAGTGCTCCTCCCTCTTCTCTCAAGGCAATGGCTTTTGCCACTCCTCTCTCCTGCTCTCCAGCTACTGGCTGGTAAGACCTGCTATACCCCTTCTATGCACTGCATGTGTCAGTGCGCTCTTAATACATACTGGCATGAAGACCAGACATAAATACTGTGAAACTCATAAGAACTTATCATCTTCCAACATTTTGACCTCTGAGAAGTTCAGTTAAAACTAAAAAGGATAAGAAGTGGAAGGGAAGAAAAAGGAATGAAACAAGAAATGAGTCATGGGAGGAGCAGTCAGTCAAACACAACAGTATAACCATACATGCCCTGCACTCCAGAAGCCAGTCCCTCTCCAATGTTCCATGATTCAGTATTTTCAGCACTAAATTATATCTTCAGATAAGCTGTTGCACTCATTACTTGTATACCACATTTCATACATTTATGCTGAGGTGCGTTACAACTGTTAAGGTGACACTGTGATAAAGTGGTACCATTCATTTGGAAAATACAGAATTAGCCTCTAAACCAGTTACACAATAGTGTCTGTGAAATTTTAAAAGACGTCAAGGTGGCTTCTTTATACAGTTACTGAACTGGAGAAAGGATGCAAGCTACACTTTCTATAATTACAAGTGACACTGTATTTTTTCTTTCTTCCTTACAGCTCCCTCTTGCAGAATTTGGAACATGCCTCCTTGCACCAAATGAGGCAGAAAGGATTAATTCTTGACTATTTAGTTCATTTTCTATTTCCTTTTCCGAGACAGACATATAGCCTCCTCAAGCCTTAGAAAGAATATTGTATCCACACTTTGGTCTGCAAATTGTCCTAGAAGCTCTTCCAGAGTGGTCATAACTATGGTATCAGTTAAATAAAAACACTTCATCACAACACTGCTACTTCGACCTGAGTTATCTTTGCTGCCTGCCTCCAGGTGGAGAACAAAAGCACAAAAGTACATCCTAACTTTAGGCTTCAGAACCGAATCACCTAAGATCTAGTTTCAAAAAGCAAGCAGATAGCTGCTTTTTGCCTGTACACAGTGGCCAAAACTGCTCACTGTTTCTGCAAGTGAGACTAAAGGCCTCACAACAGGCACTTAGAAAATAATAATTAAAAAGAACCCCAAAACCAAAGTTAAAGCTGCTTCAGACCTTTTTTTTAATGAATTCTAATTCTGACAGAGTGAAGGTTACATCAGTTCTCCAGGGCAGCATATAACCATCAAATAGGCTTTTTCTTTTGTAACCAATTCTTTATGGTCCATCCAGATTTTGCAGCAAATTAAGTAGGAAGCTCTAGAAATAGCTTATTTTTCTTACATATCCATGACTTACCCAACAGGATACTGAAAGAAGCAGCATGCAATCTTGTTAATAGCATGCAATAATCATGACATGAATTTTTAAACTGGTTTCCAAGGAAGAGTCAACAAACTGTGAACCAGGAAGTCTGATGTTGATACTAAACAAATGAGAAGTTGTTTCATAAAAACAGAATGATTGTACAAAAGGTATCATGGGGAAGCACCAACATGCTTTAAAAAGGAAAGTCATGCTTCTCACATCTAGTTAAGTTCCTTGAAAGAGTCACCAAGCATAGCAACAAGGCAGTTATGGTTGATAATACAGATCAATTTCCAAAAGGCCTTTGATAGACTCCTTTATCAAAGTCTTAAGGAAGCACAGCTACTACTGGATATGCAGTAAGGCTCTCAAGTGGGTAAAAGACAGAAAAATTAGGGCCAGGAACAGAGTATTATCAGTTTTCAAAATTCATGTCACCAGGGGATTTCCCACAGGCATTTGGGCTCAGTTCTACACCTGCCAATTCACTGACATGTCAGGTAAGTGATCTGGGAAATGAGGATGAGAAGTGAAATGACAGGGTTTGCTAAGGCTGCTAAACTATTCAAGGAGTGAAACAACTGACTGTAACCTGCAGGAGCACCTCATGAACAACAGAGTGAGAACAAGGCAAATGAAATTCAACACAGGCTGCAAGGGAAAACACCATCCTAATTTAACCTATTAAATGACAGACTCAGAAGTGGTATCTCAGAGGCGTAAACAGTACAAAACAAAATCAAAAAAGCAATACATCTCTATGCTTACTGAGCCTAAAGGTACCTCTGCTTTCCTTCCCAGAGAGGGTGGCCCCATCCTGTCAAACATGCATCTAGACAGTGCCCTTAATAATATCCTTTAATTTCTGGTCAGAAATGGTCAGGTGGTTGATGCCTGGGTTCAGCATACCTTTTTCCCCTTCTTGGTAGCTGGTGTAGTGCAGTGTTTACTTTCACATGATAACAAGCGATGTTTTGGTTTGGCCAAGGACTTTGTGAGCCCCATGCTCTGCCAGTGCCCTTAATAATATCCTTTAATTTTTGGTCAGCCCTGAAATGGTCAGGCAGTCGGATAATCATTGTAGGTCACTTCCAACTTGAACTACGCTATTCTATTTACTAGCTGTTAAAGGGCAAACAAACTACTAGGAATTTTTAGGCAATGAGTAGGATATGCAATGGAAATTACTATACCACTTCATAAATCCATGCTGCTGTAAATTACTTTGGAAAACTTTATACAGCTTTGCTTCCCTTCTTTTTATTTACTTGAGAAAGACATACGTATACAACAAGGCCTCTGAAATCACAAGTTAACACAAAAAAGCTGATTAGGAAAAACTGATCATTTACTTTCTACACAGGAACAAGGGGCTATGAAGTAAAACTGAGAGTAAACAGTCTCAAAAACAAAACAGCCGCTCGGATGGGTGATGTTGTGAATACCACAGAGGTTAAAAAAACAACTGAACAAGCTGATGGAATAGACTGCCACAGGTAGATAATGCTATTCCTCACTCAGAAGTCTGAGCAACAAATCACTAAACTCTCACAAAACATTTTGGAAGGTATCATTGCTGGCTTATCCTAGCCTTACAGTGCTAGATGTCTACTGCTGGGGACAAAGATGGAAAACAGAAGAGAGATTTGTTAAATGGGCCTTTAAGATGCAATTAGGAAGCACTATCAAAAGATCAGAACAGAATTGTAAAGCTAATGCAGCATGTATGCAATTCCAAGCATGCTCTTTATAAATCAAGCAACAAAAAACGTGCAAGAAACAGCAGAAATACTGGGACTTCTGCTCACCAGCTACTTTGTAACTTTCAAATTAAATGTATAAGTAGCTTAAGCCTGAACTAATGGAGCAACCGACACCAGCAGCATGTTGTGCATTTCATATTGTGCCTCCTTGTTAATACAACCACTGAACAGGAATGAATGCTGGGTTTGCCTCAGTATTGACCACTCAGCCTAATTAAAATTCTTATTTGATCTCAGTCTCCAGTCTCCACCACAAAGATTCTTTGCACAGTTGGTTTCTGGTCTTTGCCATCTCTCTCCAGAGATCATTGTTACAGTGTCCTTCAAAGTCAGTCTACTCCAGCAAGCTCTTTTTCAATTTACCCTCTGACTTGTCAGCTTTAGTTCATTTAGTGCTATGATTCTATCTAACACAATGAATCTTTGTCAGATCTGTCAGTGCACCAGTTGGCCCTCAATTGCAATCTTTTTGCATTGTAACTATGAATTTCTTCAAACTCATCCTCCCCCTTTCCAGTGCCAATTTCTGCTAAGGATCAAAGACTTGATTAGCAGGTTTATTCACCAGTTAGTCTCCAAAGGGTCTTTGAACCACTAGCTATGATGCCCTTCTGGGCAAATATGAGCACAAGGGAGACCAAGGCACTGCTCTTCAAAAGAGGTAAAGGAACTATCAGCACTCAGAAGAGCTATCACCTCAGAAGCTGAGCTCTTAAAAATGTTCTCTCTTCCAACAGGCCACAACACAGCTTGACAGTATTTTCAGTGTCTATGTTAAACAGTAGTGCATCTCACTGTTATGTTTGTATAATGCATAACTAAAAATTTAGGAAAAAATTGTGTATTTAAACCCATATACAAATAAATGAATAAATCTATGATTCTATACCTGTTTACCAGAAGCACATTTATACCCTGGCAAAAGGTCTGCTTACGTTCTTCTGTAGTATACCTACAGCTAAATACTAAAGTCAGCTGAAGCCTGCCTAGAAAGTCCAGAATCTACCAAGGATTTACAAACCCTGATCTTCAAGGGACAGTATGGAAGCTGGTAGCTATGGCAGCTATGGAGAAACATCTGCTTCTGACAAGCATAAGTCAAAACTTCACTGAATCAGAGCAACATTGAGAGGGATGAAGAGTCTCAAGCTGCAGTGCAGATCACATCATAGAAGAATCACGCTCATTCACTCTGCAAACTGTACATCTCACACATTGAGTATAAATGCCAGCAGCTGAACTGAAATGCAGAATGGTCATTACCAGGAACTGAGCACACCTGGAAATGCTAAGGATGAAGCCTTGAGGGAATTGTTATGGGAACAACAGTCATACAGGAAGTAAATGTTTCTCCAAGATTTGTAACAGAAACTCCAGTGGAATTTAATACAATGGGTGAAGATATTCTAGAAGTAACATCAAAGAATAAAATCATGCTCATTCTTAACCCCACATGGCTTCTGCTTTGCCTTTCATTTGGAGTAAAATCACATATATTAAAGCTTGCTACAGTTCAGGTTTTGTCTCATTATTATTCTTAGATTTATATGTGGACACAGAGACAGTATGTTGGAAATAAACAGTAAAAAGGTGTCACCTGAAAATGAGGTTCCTTGAGTATTCCAACCAATTCCGCAATATTTTCATCTTTATTTACTAAGGGACTGATGTCTTCAAGAATTTCATTCACCAGCTCCAGGTTGTTGTCACTGACAGCCTCAAGTTTAGAATCTTCCAGTCGCTCATGAGCCTGTAAGATTAAATATACGAGACTACGTTGTAAATAAGTTCAAAGTAGTTCAAATTTTTACACCTTTACAATAACTTCTCAGTGCAACTTTTAGCAGAGAAGCCAGAAAATTCACATATATATCTGTGTATTTTATTTTTATAACTGCCAAAGGATTTTGCATGTTTAATTATGTGACCCAACAAACTTTTAAGCAGCAACTGTTAGGGATGCTTGTATGTCCTGATTTCCTATCACTTCTATGCTATATACACCAAACTGAACAGTACAGCACCTCAGATCTCTTCTGCTTCAGAACCCAGTACAAGTACACCTTCTAGAATGAGGACAAAAAAGGAACTATGGGATCTGCTCAGGAAAAAAACAGAGTCCATGAGAGCAGCATTTTCCCCAGTGTCTTCTCATTCAAACATCTGCAAAACAGCCAATTCTAAAGGGAAGTGTGCATAGACAGAGGAAATGCTGAAGTCTATAGCAAAAGTGGCTAACAATATCCTGGGCTGTGATAAGAATGCTGTTATCAGAAGGTTGAGCTCTGCTTGCCACTCTTGAGGCCACACTAAAGTACTGTGTACAGTTCTAGACATACTGCAAAGAGTCCAGTGAAGGGGCACAAAATGGTAAAAGGACTGGAGCACCTCACATTTGAGAAAGGCTGAGAGAGCTCGGCCTGTGTAGCCTGGAGAAGAGAAGGCTCAGGTGGGATCTAATCAATGTGTAAATACCTGTGGGGAGGGTGCAGTGAGGACAGAGCCAGCCTCTTTTCAGTGGTACCCAGTGACAGGACAAGATTCTATTGAGCCACTGCAACTATACCCTACGTCACTGTAGGCAAACCTCCAGTGCTGCCAGTGAATCAACAGCAGCTTCCATGCTGATATTCACTGTCACGGCACTGGAAAATAGAACCAGCTGACAACCTTTTCCATGAAGATGCAGCGGGCGCAAACTGAAACACAGGAAACTCTGGATGAACATCAGGAAATGCTTTCTCCACAGTGAGGGTCACTGAGCATTGACACAGGTTGTCCAGAGAGGTTAGAGTCTCCCTCCTTGGAGATACCCAAAAGCTATCTGGCCATGGTCCCAAACAACCATCTCCAGGGGACCCTGCTTGAGCAAGAGAGTGGGAGCAGATGCTATCCAGAGGGCCCTTCCAACCTCAACCATTCTGGGATTCTGTGATAGCTTTTAATCTCTTTCTAGAGCTACTGCTGCAGACATAATCCTTTCCTAAAACACTGCAGATACTTCAATTCATTGAAAGGTAGGAGCTTTGAGAAACAAGAGAAATATCTCATAAAGCTTATTTATTGTGTTGTATCGTAAAATTTACAGTGCTGTGATCATAAAATTCGGGAACAAGAGGAGGCCAAAAATAACTAAGATTCTCAATGCACTCAATTAAGAGTGCAACACCGTAACAAGAAGTTCAAAAAAGAACAATTCCTTTGGCATGTGAAAACACAAAAAATAACAATATATGTGGGATTCATGTACCTATACTTCCCATATCTATAATCTGAAGGTATGTGCACACATGTATTTCTTCTTAGTGCATTAAAACACGTTAAAATAAAATTTTGCTAAAACCAGAAACCTTTTTTTCCTGAAATCATCTGAGTATTAAATTCTACTTCATGTCTACAAAATGGTATTTCTGCAGGACTGATGATCAAAACACTTGGAGGCTAACTTAACATAGAGACATTTCCAACATTCCCCAACACCGACACGCACAAACCAAATGACCATGATTACAAAGTCATGGGAAGCTTGGCACCTACACACATTCTCCTTAATAAGGGAATGCTATTTTGCACATAATACATACAGTAAACAATACCCTTCTATTAAAGTTAACTCCTTTTATAGCAAGCCAAAACACAAACCTATTGAATTTTAAACATACTCCAACTGCAAAACCTTTGTAAGATTAGAGAATATGGGTCATCTTTTTTCTCACTCGCTTTCTTTAAAATACTACCACTAACAGAGTATAATCTAAATTCAAATATCCTCACCCTCCATTCCAAAATCAAGGCCATGTATATGCTGGGGAACTGAAAGCTTTAAAAATGAACAAACTCTGATTCTGGGATATGCTGGAGTAGCAGGTTATGGAATGGCATGAATAATTAAGAAAAAAGGAAAAAAAAAAAAAGAATACTTAACAGTGCCATTATTTTTCATTTCAGAAATAGTGATACGGAATTGAGTCTTTTGATGCATTCAATATTTATTATACTTGCCAAATGTTCAAATAGTAAGGCTTTTGCCTCCAACAATCCGACATCCTAAAAACTGGACTAAATGTTTATAGATTACTCCTAAGATGTTTCCTTGGTCCGGGATAGGCACCCACCTGGCATGCTGCAGGCTATGCTACACTACTAAAAGCAAGTGTGACTGCGGAAAAGAAGATAAAAGTTTTGAGGTCAAAAGAATAATTAACATTCCAGAAGAGAATTTTGAGAAGACAGTTCAGTACCAAAACTGAGTAAAAGTCATGCATGTTCCAAATTCAACAACTGTTTTCAAAAGAGCATAACAATTCTAAAGGCTAGTTTAAGATCAGACATAAACCTCAGCATAGAAAAGACATGGACCTGTTGGAGCAGGTTCAGAGAAGGGCCACGAAGATGACCAGGGGGCTGGAGCACCTTCTCCCATGGAGACAGGCTGAGAGAGTTGGGCTTGTTCAGCCTGGAGAAGAAAAGGCTCCAGGGAGACCTTAGAGCAGCTTGCAGGCTGAAGGGGGCTTAGAAGAAAGATGGGGACAAACTTTTCAGTACGGCCTGTAGTGAATAGGGCATGGGGTAACTGTTTTATACTGAAAGAGGGTACATTTAGACTAGATACAAGGAAGATATTTCTTTACAATGAGGGTGGTGAAACATGGGAACAGGTTGCCCAGAGAGGTGGTAGATCCATGGAAACATTCAAGGCCAGGTTGGATGGGGCTCTGAGCAACCTACCTAGTAGTGGAAGGTGCTTCTGCTTACTGCAGGGGACTTGGACTAGATGATTTCTAGAGGTCCATTTCCAACCCAAACTATTCTATGAGTCTATAAATGCCAGTAAGTGACAGGCAAATCATACATTTTACAGTGATCACGATTTCCCCTACCACCTCACGAAAAGTAGAATGGTACAGTGAAAGAATCCTATCCAAAAAAAATCTGTAATTTCTACCATGATGCCTTTACTCCAGACAGAAAAAGGTGTGAAATGAACTCAAGACAGTTTTAAAAGATTAGCCAAACTTTGCATTGCAAAGTATTATAAACTTACTACTATGCTTATTGCTTGGCTCTATATCTTTAAGGACTAAAAAGAAAAAAATAAGCTTGTATGGCTCATGGCACATTTCCCCAAGTTTCTTTTTGTCCTTTTTGGAATACTTTACATAATGATTAGTCTTAATAACTCACTAGTAAAGGAAAATAAAAAACATTTGCATTTCTGGCCTGGTCCAAAATGAATCTGTTTAAATGAGCTGACCATCTCAGTGTCCTGAGAATTGTCTATTCTGTTAAAACTAGCTCTTCTAATAGGAAAACAACATTTACAAATTTTTAGTGACAAATGGATGTATATGAAAGATAAACATTTCATGAAATGTGCTGTCACTTTGATCTTGTCCTTATTTATCTCCACTGGTTGAGACTGAGATTTTGGGTATGATTCCAAAATAATTACAAAAGAAAATATGAGTGTGGTCATGCCACATGAACACAATTAAAACCTTTCAGCATTCTAGATCAAGCAAGTTTATAGTTAAGAACCTATTTCCATTACAAGCCCTTTTTTACATCTGCTAGTCATTAAATTCCATATAATTGTATTTGGCCATTGCAGCAAAAATTATTGATATAAAAAAACAAATGCTTTGCAATTAACTTTTTCTTCATGATAAATATTAAATTAAAGATGCCCTATGCAGCAGATACCGAAGATGGAAACAACTCTAAGAAAGAAAATACTTTAACTTACTCTGGCCAATTTAGTATACAAATCTTTCCCTCTGCAGTCATCACACTAGCAGATGAGACACTTCCATTATTTCTAAGTTTATTACTATGCAATGTCTTCCACTTACAACCAATTTTTTTTAAGCTAAATAGAACTAAATTGTTATATGAATTCTTGTGAGATTTTTCCTTTCCAGAGCTTTATACTGAGTAAAATCGCTGCACAACAATCCTTTAGCTTTACAGAGTATTTCATGCCTGCCTAGAGGGCATTGCTTTCAGATGTCTACTCATATTAACGAGACAGCTATATTTAAATGAACTGGTTTTTCCTCATGAAAGGATCTTATTTAATGAAGATTAAGAATGTAAGTTCTGAGCAATAGTGACTGCATCTCCTACTGGTAAGATCAGCTTCTGTAATTTGAATTATAGAATCCAAAGATTTTCTGTAAATGTCTGTCATGGTGACAATATCACCTTACATACTCATAATTATGACTGCCATCTATAAATACAAGATTTTCATAATGCAATACAAAATCTAAGGATAGCTGATGTCTCAGGGAGCTGACAAGGTACCAGTGTTACTTTCTCAGATCCAGGATAGGGCATGGAAAGATTATTTCACTGGGCTGATCAGAAAAGTCATTTTGAGCCAAAAACAAAAAGGAAACTTGCTTATGCCATGGAAGAAAGTTATTGGTCTCAATTTTCATCTTTGGAAAAAATGCTAAGTCAGTAAGTGTATGGGTTTTGCACACATCAGTGGTCACAAGACTATATTAAAACCAACTGCTTCTAATTTCAAGTATTTTGACATTTTCTTCATAAATAACATTACCACGTTATTTCTGGAGTCTGAATTTTTCTTTTCTCGAGAATCTTCCATCTAAAAATACATTAGCATGCACAGAAATTGCATTATACCGTATCTTCACCTTCAAGTTTTTTAATAAGATGCACCATACATAAAGGCCATTGTTAATATGTATGAGTATGGCAATCCATACTCAGTGTTCAACACAGTAATTTAAGAGTTAAAATATTTCCAGATTCTACTCAAAGCAGCAAGTTTAAATACCTTAGCAAGTGATCTTACAATAGGGTTTTCCATAATGCCTTTAAGAAAAATCAGGTCTATTTCTTCAGCACCTGTGGATGTTGGCAGATCAGTAAGGTTATCCAGGACCTGCTGCATGGCTGTTGACAAAACAAAAACAAAAAGTAAGTACCGACCAAAGTAGACTTGCATACATAACAAAAACTCTGGGAACCACCACAACATTAACTTTAGATATGTTAAGCAACCAACTATGTCTACTGAGAACAAGTGGACAGACTGGAAAAAGAACCTTTTTTTGGTTTGAAAGATGGAAATAAAGGATCTATCCAAATTTTTATCACCACAATCAACTTTAATCCAGGCCCAGCACATTCCTTTCAAGTCTTGCTACTACTTCAAGATTTAAAAAACCCAAACAAGCATAAAAGGTAAGGTATGCATAATCTTTCCAATATAATACAAACAACTCATTCATGATTCTTTATTTCATCTCTCTTCCAGAGGAAGTTTTCAGCCCTCATACATACACCAACCAACTGCAAATTTTACAATGCTTGTATAAGAAGATGTCACTTTTTAAAATGAACACGTAGTTCCATTTTTTTTTAACCAAAAATTTGCTTTCAAGACAGCTCTTACCTTGGGGACACTTCTGTCCATCCCCAGCAGTCCTTTACAATCAGTTCTGACATACTACACTCCAGCACTAAGTGCAGACGGTGCATATGCTAACACCAACCTGGCACCACAACGTACTGCAATGGGAAGTTTATCCTACAATGCAAAATATATCATGCCTGTCCAGTACCCTCAGTGGAGGTTTTCCTGGCTATCTACAGCTTCACAGAGAGAGATGCAGCAGCTTGGGTGAGAGCAAACAATGCTGACGAGTAGTCAGATAATCCCACCATCCTAGATGTCTTGTCCTGTGAAGTCACTGAGTGATGAGAATTTGTTATAACTCTGTGCTTCAATCCTCTCACTTAAAATAGAGTTGAACAAAGCAAATCTTTCATTAGACATCAGGATCAGTATATTCACTTATTACAGAGTTCTTATGCATTTGGGCTCGTGTGCAGCAGCCCTTACCTGAGATTACATCAGCTAGGCGCAAGCTTGCAGAGGTGGATGTGTGCCAGTTTAGGCTGCACAAAAGGAGGCACCATTGACGAGTTATGATATCCTTTCACAAGGTAAATGGTCATTCTTTCCATTTTCCAGTGTTTGACTATACATTCTTACCTTGTAGTGTTACCTTAGTAGTGAAAAATCAATACTGTTCTTGTTTTTAAGTGTATTCCTTTAAACTCATGCCGAGTTACAAATCCATGCTCAGACACATACACAGGCATACTAAAAAATCCCTTCTGTTGAAATCCCCTAACAAGCTAAAAGCATTAGAACAAGCCTTGTGTACTGCCATGCTCCTCATGCTGCATAGCAACATATACCAAGTGAATTAGAAAGCCTATGTGCCCCTTCTCCCACACAGGAATTTACCCTTAACTTTCCTCATTCCTTTATAATGAAAGCTATTATGAAACACTACAGAGTAACAGAACAAACAGCATTTCTCAACACCTACTTTCTCATTTCAATTCTTCCTAGAAATTCCATCCCAAGAAAAAAATTTCTGGCCATTCTTTCCATCTTTTCAAAAGCTGACTTTTGAACAATCAAATCCTCTTGTGTGCCGCATTTTAACCACAGCAGTGTATGTCAAATGACTGCATTTTTTAAAAAAACTGGTTTAAACATACGTCTCACTTTCAAGAAGTGAATCTTCTGTGGAACCATGAGTAGGAGGGAAAATGACACTTTACGCTTTCAGATTTTGAAGCAATATTTTTTCTATTTTATAGCAGATAAAGTGTTTTTAGCAATCACACCTTACATAAAGTCACCAAATCAACCTGTAAATAGACCACATCTTCCTCTGACTAGGTATGTCCTGTACCTTGACTAGATCAGCTGCAGAGGCAACTGCCTTCTTTTATGTTTTCTCAATTCCCAGTTACAGATTCATGACCCTTAATGCAGGCATGAAAGCAATAGTATTTGCAGAAGTAGACATATTTCTACCCAATGGTGCTGCATAAATACTGCAAGTGTTATAATAATAAGCTTTTTTTACATTTTAACAGTTATGTAAATTGTTTTTAAGGGACATCAGGTTAGCACTTCAGTTCTCATAAATAATCTGACTAAAAATATAAAGCTTCCTTCAGGTCAAAGCATGCATCTCAACTACCGGTTGCAATTCCAGCACTTGATGCCAACAGAGGCGTGAATAAAAGACATTCCTTATATATCTCCATGTTAATAAGCTGTTTCTTATGCAACCCTTTCAGGAGTCTGCCTATCTTAGAATGATCTAATGAAAAAAATAAAACGCTTACTTAAACTTCAGCATCAAGGAGAAACTGCAAGGAGCAACATTACAACATCAAGCTTCACAAGAACTACTTTCAAGCTTCCTGCAACTAGACAGGGTATTTTCAAATTCACAAATTCTAGCATAAAAACTGCTTGAGTACATTTTAGCATTCTTGGAAAGCAGCGAACATCTTTATCAACATGCAGAGTTAAAAAAATTCACAAAGGCAGACTTGCATCCTAGGTGATCAGCTGCCTTCAGAAACAGCTTCCTACTGCTGTGCATCTGATGGTTGCCTTCTCCCATGGCACAGCCATCATGGCAAGAGTCTTCTTAGCTACAAATAGCATAGGCCCAATATTAGAAAGAAAACCAAAAAGGCACATGTAAGTTAGGATAAGGTACCTATACTAGCCCTGGATTCTTTATGTTTGAACACAGCGTGGATCTCTGTACTGCCGCAGTGTAGTCAGTTCCCCATCTTAAAGGGAAGAGGTTTCTAAGTAGCTGAATAAATAAAAAATAATACATATTGTTAAGTACCCCTTTATTTTAACCAACTACAAGAGAAAACTTTAAGAAGCTTCAACAAAGCAGTATATGGTAACTAGAAACTAGAGCAACATTTATATGCTTCATGGTGTTTCACTGCTTTACATTCACCTAGCAGAAAAATTCAGAACATGCCCAACTGTTATTTTTCAAAAAGTGATCAAGAGCATCTCCCAACAGGTGTTATGTCAGCTGCTTTATTTCAGAACAGACAGTAATACTTGAGTACTTCCTGTAGTACTTTAATGTCAATATTTTACATTTATTACGCAAGCCATGGGCCAGCTTCAAGCATAATTCCTGTTTAATGTGAAATGCTACTACTTGCTCACATGTGAAAACAGCTTTGAAACTGTAAGCAACATATTGACCTACATACACCTTAGATATTCATATGTGCACTTTCAAACAATACAATTTATTCAAAGACCGTTTAAAGCCGGGGGGCAAACACTTTGGTAAATGTATTACAGACCCTATTTTTGTTTATCCAATCAGCTTTTGGTTACTCATTTGTATTAAAAAAAAAAAAAGAAAAAAGAAAAAGAAAGGAAAAGAAGGCTCAGGGGAGACCCTAGCACCATGTTCCAGTATTTGAAGTGTGACTGCAAAGATGGAAACTCTCTTTTTCCAAAGAGTCACATGGAAAAGACAAGGAGAGCAGAGGGTAAAAGCTGCTCCAAGAAGATTCCAACTGGACAGAAGAGGAAAATTTTTCACAAGCAAAATCAGCCGTTGGAAAGATCTCCCCAGGGAAGTGGTGGATTCCTCAGTGTTGGACACTTTCAAGATTCAGCTGAGAGGGTGCTGGGCCATCTTGTCTTAGACTGTGCTTTTGCCAAGAAAAGTTGGACCAGCTGATCCTTGAGGTCCCTTCCAACCTGGTATTCTGTGGTTTGATGAAAAAAAGCAGGATACATTGTTTCCAGGCTTAATTCTAATTACCTTTCAGAATAACATAGATACACATGGATCTTCAAGTAGCAATTTTTAAAACAATTTCACTTTTTTCTTTCCTGGGGCAAACCCACCTAGCTCTTTTAGAAAGCTATCTTATATTCGAACAGCAGGAATAAAAGCTGAAGATGTTAAATGCTCACTTAGGAAAGTTTTACTTAAAAGATAAGGCTCTATCAAACAAGAAAAAGATGGAACTAAGGAGTCTGGAGACTGCCCAATCTAAATATTTCATCAAATATTGCCTTTTGAGCCTCCCATCTCCTCTCTGGCAAATCTGCTCTGGAAATGTTGATAGAGGTTATGGGGGTAGGGAGGAAGGGAGTGGGGGAAGACCTGTATAACTTAGATTTAATTGAGGCAATACAAGAACTAAGGACTACAGTGAATAAACTGCATAAACCACGTTGTCAGGAGTGCTCCTTATTGTTGAATACCTTAGTGCCCAATAAAAAGCAAATATGTGCTTCTCCTTCAGTAGAAAATTAATTGGGTCTCTTTTGCCTCTCTCATCCCATCTTTCAGAGAAAACTGGTAAGAACATACTAATTTCAAAGAGCTCTACTGCGCACCTCCTTCTCTTTCAGAAGTCACACTTTTTTCAATATTCAAAGACCCATCTGGGCAAAATTTTAAATTATCGTCACAACACAAAAGGATCTGCTTTTGTGAGGACAGTAAGAGATGGGCATGGTTGACTATGGCAGTTAACAAAACCATCTAAGAACACACACATGACAAGAAACATACACTGACTACAGCCTCCAGACAGAACAGGAGGAACTGAGCAGCAGGCTCTCAGTTGAGGCAAGGCGTTGAAATAAAGGGATTCTTAGGAAAAAGTGACAACAGAAACGAGTCTGAGCTGGGACTCGTAACAGAAAATGAGATTACAACAAGCCACCCTCCACTCCAGCCCCTGGCTTTGGTGACAGGGATTGTACATGCAGGTAGAATTAATTTCCACAGTCAATTTTCAAAGAACATCTCCATAACCATAGGAAGCTTAAAGCCTCAAGCAAGAGTCAGTACGAGCAGCCTGGTCTGCTGTGTACATGCATTGAACAATTTAATCCAACTATGCTTATGACCCCATACTCAGAGGAACTAGCTTGTCATTTGAATCCCATATCAAAGAGCAAAAGTGGGGGAAAACACGCCAATTGATCTCTGCGGCAAACAGCATGCGTTCTGAGGCATAAGAATGCAGAAATTCCACTTCCTAATGCAAACTGACTAACCAGAATTAGTATC